CAGCAACTGTCTCAGGTAAAGACAGCACTTGCTACCTTAAACCACTTAATGTAGGACTCCTATTAGTGATTCTTTTTCTATGCTTCCGCACTCATGGTTGTGTAAGACCAAGGTGCTTGGCCATAGGATATAAGTTTCAGTTTTTTCTCTGGCTCTCAGCCAAGCTGGCCTCAGTTTAAGACGAAAGAAATTATGGCTGGTGGTCCATGAAACAAGCTGTTCCGCTAAACAAGTACCATTTAAAAGGAGGAAGAATCTCATAGTCCCATGCAAGATGATTAATCCAAGTGCTCACCCATTACTGTTTATCACCCTAGATAATCATTTACAACATATAGGAGACGATGGTTTGTGTGTGGGACATTTCTGGAGGAGAAAAATATTACGAAAGATAGGGAGGATCATAAAATCCTACTGCTTTTGAAATTGCTAACCAGACTCTCAGGTACTTCAAGAGAGTTCAGATCTCCTTACTCTTCCACCTGCTATTTACAAACTGACTGGAAGAATCCTGCAGGGAAATAGGCTGTAACCAAGGCATTTTGAACCATAGCGTAGTTGCTCTGATTAATTACTGTTAAGATAGAATTAAATCCCAAGCATGTTAAATGCTTCTGGCAACGCTAAACTGCCCTCCTTGTACTAGGATGCCTTCTACACTATGTTTCAGCTACTTCCATCTACTTACTAAGTTAAATGTCCAGAAGTGGTTCAACATTAAATTAACAGCTTATTTTTATTCCTGTTTTGCCCAAAACACTAGATCTATTCAGATATCACTTTAAAAAATCCATATGTTTAATTAAGAAACATTATAAATGGCAGAAGCATGACAATGCCTTTCCAGCTTTCTTCTAACACGATGCCATCTCCTCAAAGCTAGTGGGGTAATTTGAAATTCAGTAAACAAGAGAGTTGTTCTGTTCCTATTCATACCTTAGCTCTTGCCAAAAGCTGCAACTTGATGACAACCACTTTTTTTTAAAAACACACTACACATACTTATTTTTGCTTTACAGCTGTAAGAGAGCTTTCACAAAAGCCAGTTTCTCTTATGTCATTTATTTCCTTGCAAAATACAGTCCACAAAATAGAATAAAATATAAGACAAAATGTTTTCCTCTAATCCCTTTCAGCTACCATGCTACTCAATGGCACTGAAGAGTAGGTGTGAAATTTGCAGATAGAAAACATGAATTAGTTGGATCACATCCTCTTCAATTATCTCAATACTTTTGCAGTATGAAGACTTAATAGGGATTCAGAGATTTTTTTTTTTTTTTAAAGTTCATAGAAACTGTTACATCAGAAGCCAGACTAAATGCTCCAACCTAAGATGTGGATCTTCTATTAGCTACTGCTATGGAAACTTAGGAGTTAGTATCAGAAGCCAGCAGGACCATGTCCTCATTTAAGTTAGTGATCTTTTTCTGTCAGCAGCGGTGATGATTTACAGATGGCAAAGCATTTATAATTAATACGTAAACTGTCAAGTGCTTTCTAAAATGTCAAGTGCCTCCCAAATTTACAAGTTATTATTTGATAAATGCTGTTTTTAAAAGTGTTATAAAATAACTTCATAAGCAGTTATTCGTGCCTTTGCTACAGGCTGAATCTGTGAGAGGTCACTGAGCAACCATCTGCTATGGAATGCCTATTTGGGATAGATTAAACTAACCCTTTGTTACACACCTCACCACTACTTTACTTCAAAGAGGTGATAGGTTATCAGCCTTAACAGCTGTAGGGCTGATGGACCACAAGTCAGCTAAATCTGTAACTACAGAAGTTTTCAGACTGAAAGGGAAGGGGATGGCGAGAGGAGTACAGGCATCACATACAAGACTATACTTTGTCTCTTATAATCACCACCTGTGTCATCAGATAGAGACAGATATGCAGGGCACTTGGAAGTCTTTTATATTTACAGGAAGTCATGTTTATGATTTTTCTGCCAAAAACAGAGTCATTTCTGTACTAGAAGAACAGCTGTAGAAATACCATAGAGCACAAAGCGGCTCAGGTCTACCCTCTGTAAGAGTGTCCCCACAGACATCCTAACCCTTGCTATTCAAGAGGGTGTGGAAAGGCTTTCCGCAGGATTTTTAAGTAGAGAAAATTTCAGTAGCAGATTAGTAACATGAACTGACAAGCTGTACATGCCTGTCAACAACGCACAGCAAATATGCTCCTGCCTTTGGAATTTAGCAGTTGCAATATGAAAAACATTCAGCTTTCTTTATGAAACAAAAAAAAGTATTGAGAAATCCATCCTCTGAACTAAGACCATGAGTCTCCATAAGCATTGTGCAAGTGTTCCATGCTCAGCTGATTTCAAGTGTTAACAGGTTTAAAAACAGGAGAATAAAAATCCATGTTTATTAAGGTCTGACAACAAGCTGTGTAATGCCAGTGTGTTGCTCTGTTAGCGTTGCTAAATCTGGTCTTGGTACCACAGCGTCAACATCTGCCAGGTACAACTGCCGCACACTGCTTTAGTCATTCTGTGGCTTTCTGTGGAAGTATGTGCAGATCTTCCTCATGGAAACTGAAGTGCTTCCAGCCTGGGGGGGGGGAAAAAGAAAAAAAACCCTCACACAACCTTTCAAGATTAACACTTCGTACACTGCAAGAGTCTTAAAGTCTCTCCTCCATCATTGCTCCAGTTTGTTTAGCCCCTCAAATAAGACTCAAAATAAGAGGTCCTTTCCTATAATCTGTTTGTCTTACAGATAAGAAGCTTAGTAGCTACAGGAAGCATCAGATAAAACCTGAGGTTGTCTTACTGCCCTAGGAGAAGCGCTCTGGCTGCAGTTTCAGCTAGTCTACAGCTAGCTAGTCTCCAGCTAGTCAAGTGCAGCTCAGCAGACAGAGCTGCATGTTTCCAAGACATAATAGATCAACGAGTTCCGGTGGCACTCTAAGCACCTTATCAGGCTGTGTGTGCAACACAGGCCACGAGCATCCTGAGATTTGAGCTAAAGCATACTGGGTAGAAAGAGAGTTCTTCTATAGTAATCTCTCTGCAGGGTAAATCTTTATCTTGTATTTAAACATGCACACCATCAAGCACAAGCAGTTCTAGGTTTATTATAATCAAGATTTCTTGGTGCAGCCACAATACTAAGAGCTCAAATGCTATGCATGACACAAGCGTAAGGAACAGTGGCTTGCCTGCTTCACATCTAACAGAAGTGCTGAAAGAGACGAAGTTGGGTAAGACAGGAGATATTTTACCAAAATAACCCTTAGTCACTGTAACAACCTGTGGCATCAGATAATCAAGTGAGAGTGCAACTAAAATTTGATGATTGAAAATTTAGGTAAGATTTACTGAAATAAGAATCTAAGTCATACACACTGTAGGATTTGGAGTCCAGTTGCAGAGAACAGATGAGTTTGCTTTTAAAAATGTAATCATCATATCTCAGTTTGCAGGTTAAACCCTAAATCCCCCATGCCAACTTTTCAACTGCTTTACAAGCTTAACTTCCAGATCCTAGGATGAGCTTCTCATACATCAGAAGTAGGATTATGTAGGTCAGATTCTGACCTCTGACTCTTCTGCAACACCTCCATTTTCTGTTAGTTTTCAGCAAAAGGAACCAAAGGCAGAATTTAGGCCCACAGCTTTAACATGGGTAACAAATTATTTTGCTACCTGGGCTAGAATAAATTTAGCTCTTTCTTCCAATGCTAAAGTGACTTTACAGTAACATAAACAGGCAGATGTGATGGTGAACACATATGAACAGTAGATCTGCCACGAAAGGTGCTGTCATTATTATGTTTCTTGGAGCAGAGCTTTATTACAGATGATGGCTACATCCTTAGAACACCCAACTGGGGACTGTAAGGATTTCTTAGCTCTCGTGTGCTTTAAGTTCCTTTCACATGAAGGAACAAGTGCTCCTGAAAATTGTCTTCCTGTATCGCGGTGGGTGGGGGGGATTAGTAGATGATAGCATTAGGGTGTTTGTTAGACTGTGTTGGGGCTTATTTAGGTCAGAAATCATCTCTTTTTTTGTCTATAATCAAAAGGATCAGATAACTCTTAGAATGCCTGAGCAGGAGAGAACTAAATATGCACAACAAGGAGAGAGTGATAACTAGGGATAACCTCTTTCATAACCTCACCCACTGCGACTCACTGGTCTACTTACAGCTTTTGGTGAAGTGGCCACTGCTGCTGCCTCTTGTCGTTTTGCACTGGGATTACAAGATGATGGGGGGCTGTTTGATGCATTCTGGATGCCAGCTTTGCCAGTCCTTAGCTTCTCTCCCAGAACAGACAGCCAGTTTTTTCTTTCAGGTGAACTATTTTCTTTATCTACTATGTCAGTCCCTTTCCCGCAAGGAGATCTGAAAAGAAGAGGAGGAGTTTGAACTCCTGATAGATTAATAGCGCTTCCAGGAAAAGAACACTCTTTTGGGCTGTGGCTAGAGCCTCCACGGTCATTATCCAACTCAGACAGACTCAGAGAGCTTTCATCACAAGCTTTTTGGCCTGCAGCCAAATGACATAAATTTAGCTTGGATTTCTTAGCCACATGGTCCAGTTCAGTCACGCAGCCACAGGTCTGCAGACACTTCTGCCCCACGTCATCTTCCTTGCTGCAATCAAGCCTTCTCTTGGCACGCTTTTCAAGCTGTGAGTGCGCTGCTTTAGGAGTACAAGCTGTCTCCAAGAGACCTTGTGTGACTTCTGCCAATGCTTTCCTAGGAGACGGAGCCTTTTTCCCCACATCTGGAGACGAGCCTGGAGTTCTAGTAACCCAATGTTTAATGGACGTTTTGGAGGAAGGTATCAGCTTGGGAGAAGCACATGGGCTGGCTCTGCTCTGCTTTGCTGGCGTACAGGTTGTGGCCATTTGGGTTTTGAGAGAGCCTGTTGGAGTGTTTGTAGAAAGAGGAAGGTCTCCAGAATAACTGGGAGCACAGGCAGCTGGACGTGGTGAGGAAATACTTGGGTTGCCCACTGTGAAGACTTTGGCAGGAGTACTCTGTGGGCTGGTTGGCAGTAGTCCTGAAAGAGAAGAAATAAGTAGTTTAATGAGGAACACAGAACAGCAGATTAAAGATAGCCCTTTTATAAATACCCCTTCCAGCAAGGGGATTTTGAATTTAGCACTGATCCCATTTCTCAGACATACCCTTCTGAGTTACAGATTGCATAAATCCTTTAATTTCTGTTAAACTAACACAAGTCCTATTTAAAATATTGTATCATATTAGTAAGTATAATATAGAGTGCTTATTTGATGTCTGACTTCTATCCCTCCTGTAAGTAGCACTGCTTACATGAACTACAGCCAAGGGACTGATGGATAGACAAAATAGGTTTTGAATCTTCTGAGTTTATCTAGCCCTGATGGAAGCTTTGCAATGGCTTAGTCCAGATAGCTCTCTTCCGAGAAGCTATCTGAGGACAAGGTTAGGTTCCTAACTGCACTAAAATCTCTAACGGTTTCATAATTGAGTTGAGGGACAAAGGTATTATAAGCAGGTCCTATAGCTAATTGTAACACTGAGAAAGTCTTATATTAGAATATCCTACTATATGAATAATGCTCCTAGAGTCAGGTGTTCACAGATGTATATTTTTAAGGTAAAAAGAGTAGGATCAGGAAAGGACATGCTTTCATCCTATTGCCCTTTTGCTAAAGAATTTTCTGCAATGCTATGTTAGTGCAAAGATAGTAGCCAGTTATTTACCACACCTAGACAAATGTGAGAAATTCTTTACCTCCTGCACAAGGACTTAAATTCTAAAGAAAATAAAATCTCTCTCTGGGTTAAGTCATTTCTCTAGAACAAATGTTTCCCAGACAGCTAGGTCACAATGGCTTTAGAGCTAACTAGCTACTATGTAAAAGCCTCTGCTTTTAAAACAGTAGATTCTTAAAACATGAAGCAAAGTACTCATAGCTAGGTTTACAAGTGGGGCATTTGGACCTCAACAGTAACACTGCGAATCATACGTAGCAAACATCTTGGTCTACAGCAGTATTAGAGGGGTTTTTATCCCTATCACCCTCCAGGAGTGAATACATTAGTGGGTCTGTTAAATGCCTGCTTTCTCATTCATCTAACTTGAGGTGATGCAGTTGAACAGGACAGCACATTAGCTACCTCACACATTTCTACCGCTGAGCGCAAGGGCTCTAAACATTTTCTGCACACCAGGGGTTTAATCTGAACTCCTAATTCTCAGCATTAGCTGTTACACTGTAAAGCACTTTCTAAGGACAGTGAGAAGTGTAGTGGGAACGCCCTGCCGTTTCTTTAAAACGCTGTACTGTCTCTCAAGTAACCCGTCAAGTGACTAACTACATGACTCTGATTACATACCATACTAACCTCCTCCTGATTCTTCCTTTTACTACAATATTTCTAGTCCTTTAAGAGATAATATACATATATACACACACACACATATATATTAGTACTGGCGCATCAGAGCAAACCAAATAGGATCCCATATTAACGGATTCCGCTACAAATAACTTTGAAGCCCAAAGTAGAGTTAAAGGCCCCTTTCCTGATGAAATGTGCTATGTCATAACAACTTGCTTCATTCTGGACAAAGAGAATGTCACTGCCAAGATTGGTTCTCCTAATCTTCTCTTTAATGAGCGCTTACAAGACAATATCTCAGCTCGAGAATTAGTTGCACTTAAAAATCTAAGCTCTTAGAGGTAGAAGAAAGCTAGCAAGCTCAGCAGCTCTCAGTGCCTAATAACCATCTACAGATTCATACAGCAGAAATATGGCAGGAGCAGCTGGATATGAGCATTCTCAATCTGGCCATAGTCTGAAAGTTGCACTGTGGAGTCACTCGATAGCGGGGGCGGGGAGAAAGCTGTCCTGGAGGGTTGGATGGGTGCCATGATGAGAAGCAAACCAACTACACCCCCAAGCCTGGGAAACAGAATATAAAGATTAGGCTTTTCTGTAACATTGCATGCATTGTTTGGGCTTCTACTAAGCCAGGTTCAACCTGTTTCTATTTATATTGCCATTCCATTTAGGATGCGCAAGCCTCTCTGCGATGAATACTGTAAATACCTGTAGTCCACCTGCATGATACCTAAGTAGCTATTTCAGATGTTTCCTGCCTTCTCTCTCTTCTGCTGTAAGTTTTCTAGAGTGAAATTATGAACCTCCAGATTTAACAGTCATGAATTTTTCTCACACAGGCCAGCTCCAGAAATTTAGTTACTCAAAAACAGAGAGAAAGTAGAGCAACTTAGCAAAACCACAAAAACAGTTTCCAAAGAAAAGGAAACTGTGCTTGCCACACTTCATGATATAGGTCAACAGCCAATACATAGCCTCAGTCTCACAATTTGTTCCATATAAATGGGTGGGGAACTATCTAGATCTCATCCCAGCAGGTCTGAAATAGTATTTAGATTGCCAGCTCTGAATCAGTCTCTGCAGATAACTCGTATATTCTAACAGCACGTGCTTTGTGTTCAAGAGCCAAGGTCAGCAGGA